TGGGACGCTTAAATTGAAGGAATTAGCAGTAGGCAGAGGGCTGACAGTGATCTAAATCACCGTCGCTCTAATTGAGTGCCCTCAGAATTATACCAGGTGCTCTGTCGACCGTTCAGTGCCGGATTTTATCACTACAGATAGTTGTATCTCCATCCCTCTTTCTACCCATTTTCTCTGGCGCTCTCTTATCATACTGTCTAGAGGTACTGCTGGCATAAATAAAATCGCCAGACAAAGTCCACACTGACCTCCAAACTGGTGTCTCACCCAGCCAGTCACAGAACACACTAGGAGCACAGATGATGCTAGGAACACCAATCCGCTTACTGCTCCAAGCCACGGCATCCCCTGGTTTGACGTCGGCTGCTCTGGCTGAGGCTGGTTAGAGTGCCGGCCAAAACGACGGAAACACTGTGTCTTCCTCCATATCGCCATAACCATAATAACGGTAGTCAAGTGAGACACCATTGGAGCAGCCCACCAGTATTCGACACCAGACCGCCTAAGTTGCCAGACGGTCGCCCCAATAAAGGGAAGGTGAAAGACTAATACTAGTCCGAAAATGATGATTCTCGCCTTAATGGAGGTGCCAGGCTCGATGGCGTGAGGAAAAAAGGCATAAATCAAGGGATCGACAACTTGAATAAGCTGTAAATCATGAGTATATCGGGGAGGTAGTTAGACAGACTTGAATGGGAAGTACCTCGATGATGTCGACGCATAACATGGTGACCCCTTTCCAGGCCGTGAAGAAGGGGTAGGCAAGGACGTTTGGTAGGAGTGCATTTCTCGCACTGCCAAACAAAGCGGCGAATATCAGTCCGATACCCAAGAGGAGACAGGCCGTGAAAATCAACGCCCAAGCTCGCCTACGCGAAGCTTCTCGTGGCTTGACTCTGATCATCCAGTCCAGGTAAGGGGCCAGGAAGATCGTGGTCACGGCGAACACGACGCCGGCCTCGGTGACCTCTTTCATGCCAATCTCGTCATGCATGTCGAATTGCGGCAACCTTGAACGATGGAGTGAGCGGAATTCGGACTTAGAGCAATGAGAATATGAGCACCGGGCTTGCCTGGAACAAGACGTGCTTTATATAATGTCAAGCATAGCAGCGATGTTGGTACCTGGAAGGTAAAGCTTGTATTAAGAGAGCCACAGGACGCAAACGGGCAGACATACCTAGAGTGAGGTGGTAATGGGTGCTTTGTGCATAGTAAGGTTACACCGTCATTGCCTTGAGAAGGGGCTATAGTTGATATAATGATTTACATATATGAAGCAAGTGAGCTTCCTCCACATTAAAACAGCCCTAGTCAGAGTAGGGTGGGTGTAACGGCACGTCTTCAACTGGTCAATGCGGTTGGCCCCCAGTTGCGAGGCCATCCAGTATCTCGGCATCAGCAGCAGTGCATAAAACCAGGTCCATGCACTCTAGCTTGCATGCGTCTAAGTTCGCCTTGACTAGGGAGGTCGGAACGCCATGGGCCTGCGCAAAGGGCGGCTTAGCCGGGTCTGCAGCCAGATGAACGTGAACGTGACGACACCATGAGCTCTCTGTTGGAGATGGACAAAACAAGGAAGGCCAAAGACACGAGCAAAGGGTGCCGTTGCTCCATTCCACATTGGGGTTTGTGAGATAACAGCGCGGCTGTAGGAAGCGTGACTCTCAACTGTGACAATTCCGCAAGGTGGGCTTCGTACTGGCTTGCAGATCCAAGAACCTGGCTCTCACCCGGTCGTCCCTGGTCTCGGCCTCGTCGGAGTTGTTGGCCATGGGCATTAAGACAAGGCAGGAACACAGGATAGCACACTGAGAAGAAAAAGAAACTAATTACTTGGTGATTCCTCCCGGCTTGTTCGTCTCCTCAAGAATAATCTCCATCGCCCTTTCTAAAAGTGCGCTGCCCTTATCGCTGTCTAACTCATGAACCGAACACCATCCTTGACCTTCAATGAAAACCGCGCTCGCGCCGCAACTTGCTAATTTGACAAATCTTTTGAAGTCTTCCTGCCATATTCTGCGCATACTTCTTTCCATCTCGGCGCTGATGCTCTTGGGAACAGGGATGCCCACTCCCACGCCCAATGTGAAAGGCCCCCAAAAGTTTCTATCCTCACTGAGCCTTCGACAGTACCAGTAACGAAGTAAAGACGATTCATCTTTGAGGTTGTGGAAATTATCGTGGAGTCTTTTGTCCTGCACGCATGTCTTGCAAGTATCGGTGATGATCTGAAAGGGCTGGACTCCAAGTCGGCACGGCTGGTTATGGGTGCATTTCTTCTGATTAACCTCGTTGAGGTGACCGCACCTAATCGAGCCTTGTGTGATAATGTGTGATTCCATATTTTCGCTTTAGGTAGCTCGTTCAACTTATAGACCACTTAGAATGGTGATGGCTGTGTCCGTTTATGCGCCGCTCGAGGCCTTATATGTCAGGAATCCAGCTCCGCAACTGTCAGCACTCTCTCTGCGCCTACATTGTGAGGAAGAGCTAATGCATCAAATAGAAGCTGTCGCAGGGCTTGAAGTCTCATTGCGATGCTATGTCCATGGCTGTGTCACCTGCAGCGTACCGTTACATGCAGGGTGCAAGCCCGGTACAAGATCGATCACGCATGACGTACGGCTGCGGCAGAGAAATACTGCGACATGGAGGGGAGGGGAGGGGTGAGCGACGAAGCTGGATTCTAGCCTTCCGATCGTCTACGGTACCTTCGTGGTTTCATATTCACATGTGAGCAAGGCCGGACAATAGGTACCTAACGGTGATTGTGATCCAAACGGTGCGGGGAAGAAGAACTTGGAAAGGTTGAAGAGGCTGCCACGACCAGTGCAGATACGGTTGCTGGATCTCCGACTTATGGAAATGTGAATCGGAAACGGAAACAACTTTGCTGTGTCCATGTATGTGTCCTGGATAACCTTATACATCGCATATTTAACTTTCCAGCCAGCAATCTCTGCGCCTATATCGGGAAGGTGAGCTAAATTTTGCCAAGAAGCTGTTCCGTGACTTGCAATATCGCTGCTTTGCCTGGCCGCCGGCATACAGTACGCGTTCGATCCGGGAAAGCCGCGCCAATGCAGGTGGGGTTTGCCTAAGGAAAAAACCAACTTGAGTAATATGTGATATATGTGTGAAAGAGATGTGAAAGATCTGCTGATAGGGCTGCCTCGGCAAGAAAATTAATGTGATATTCACGTGGATTATACGTGGCATATGTGTGAAAGATACATGGAAGAACCGTAGGTGGGTCTGCCTCGGTAAAAGCTCAGCTGACATCAGGCCCAGGCCGGCCTCCCATTTACTTCCCCGCCTCCGCCAACTCCTATTTCGGGTCATTCCAATTTTCACACGTATTTCACATTCTTTTCACATCATTCCATGCTGCCTGTCTTAATATGCGTACAGTATCCCTTGAGCAAGCACTTCGCCAACTCCGCGATTTTTGTCACAGAATCAACTGCGATGGGTTGAAACAGCACCATAAACGTCGCGTCGAAGAAATCTTGCGGCTGCTCAAACTACCAGTACCAATCTCATCGGCCACTCGTGAGGATCTCTATCAACGGTTTTTGAGCCACGCCCAAACAGTCTGCGGGCTGGAAGGGACCGCTTTGTGCGCTGCTGGGCTCGGGAAAACAGCCATCATTGAAATGAAAAGCACCTATAGGTGGCAACTACCCTCGAGACTGACGGAGGCAAAGTTGGAGTGTCTTGCTCTGCGAAGCTTCCTTTCCAGTTCAAACGAGCGTCAGTCAAATGCCATGTTGAGGAGTGGTTCATGCTAATACGAAGTAGAAACGAACACCACCTTCGGGCAAGGTGGTGGCTCTCTTCAGCTTGAGGACATTTCCACAGAGTCTGCGCGAAGTGATGGTTCGCATTTCCCAATAGCACTCCTATTTACCATGAAGCAGTATGTTAACGTACGTTTGCAGTCGACAATTCTCGGGTCTCCGATCCCTCGGGCCAGGCACGTCCGACTATTGCAAACCTAACGTATGCACAACTCTTTGGATTCCTCCAACAACATACCGAATCCAGCAATCTGCAAATGATTTGTCCTTTGTTTGGGCAACCTCTTCCTTCCATTGACCTAGGTCTGGATGCCACCGTTGGAAAGCAGGCAACGGTTCAATTTTCTCTCAGGGCAAGTGAGGCACTGATTGAGTATATCCGTATGTCAGAGGCGGTTGAAAAACCGCACTGATGGCCTCTGATAAAAGCGACAGCTCTGACCTGGTTCGATATAGACAATGTAGGACTCGTTCCCCTGTCCAGTTACGACGTTGGAGATAGGATCGCTGTTAACCCTGACAGCCCCCCATTCGCAATCTTGTCTTACAAGAATTGCGCGCACTGAGGGGCTTGCCTTGTCCAAATCTTTGCATACCGTCCACTCCTGGTCAAGCTTCACTTGGTAGCCCAGCTGTATTATGATTAGCAGAGAATCATGAATGGGAATCAAACTTGATTTACCCTCTGCTCTACCATAATTTCAAGCGCAGCGTCATCATGAGATATTTTTGTGGCTTGCGTTACTTGCGGGCCCTCCACGGAGGTCATTCCCGGCCGAGTCCTTTCCCCCTCCTTGCCCTTTGTATGGTCGGTATCGCGAGACGGTACTTGCCCAGAAGGCATGCTCAGATGCGCCTTCGGTAAGGCATTTGAAAGATGCAAAGGCGACAACCCAGCGTTCTGTAAGCGGCGATGAAAACCTGTGGCTGCGAGTGCGATTGCGAGGTCGAAGGTCGCGGGGTAAAAATCGCGAGGCTCCCAGGAGTAGTGTCAGTCAAAGAACGATATCCTAGATCAGAGAACTCGAGCTCACCGTCAGAGAAATACGTACGCCACTGCCTGGGCGTCAACAGGTCATACGATGTTGTGAATGGATAAAGATGTCTTGCGGCCTTATTCTTGGTAGGAAATCGCGGGCGGGGTTCCACGATCTCGCGAATATTGGTAAAGGTTTGTCCGGTCCGACATCCCCCAAAATGGAGCCCGACCGAGAGTAGGGCCGAGGGTAAGGTTAAGGTATGGGTACTAACATGCGCGCTAGGTTTCCACCAAACGCGCCCGTATGTGACATGACGTTGCAGCACCCGCGACCACTCGCGGGCTCCGATATCGCCGACAACCCACAGCCCTACCCTTCGACGTTTGAAGTCTCCCAGCACTTTCGTAGGAACATCCGCAAATGGTACTTCTTGTTCGCGCTGGCTGGGGCGGGCTTATCGTAGGGATTGGGACGCCCAGGGCCCCAGCGCGTCGCAGCCAGAGGGATGCCGCAAGTCACTATTTTTAGCGGTCAAGTATACGGACTACGTTGAGAGGAGAATGTACGTGATAGACCCCTTCCCCCCTGGCCCCTTAATGGAATGCGGGCTACAAGATGAGGAGGATACGTACTACCCGTGCCACGCCCCACTTATTTTCACGTTCGTTCCTCACCAGCTCCATAAGCTGGTGCTAATGCATCGCTGAACCAGCAACGTTTCAGGCAAGAGCAACGACGTTACGACTGCTGCTCAACGAACACACTCGCGTTCGTCAGATCCCAGAAAGGGTTGGAAAGCACTCAAAGCGCATCGATAAAGCATTGCCGGGCAAGCACACCCGCAAGATGTACGACGAGCTAACTAGAAAGGAATCTGAAGTGTTGGTACAACTTCGAACTGGCAAATCACGACTGAATGGCTACCTTTGCAAAATCGGGGCAGTGGAATCGGATGAGTGCACCTGCGGACAGTCGGCGGAAACCGTGGAACATTTCCTCTTTCGATGCAGAAGATGGACGGTACAACGAGAAATCATGCTTCGATATGCTCGCGGAAAGATGGGAAACCTGTCTTTCTTCCTAGGAGGCAAGGCAGAGTCAGACGATGACAAGTGGCAGCCCGATATGGGGGCTGTACGGGCGACAATACAGTTCGCGTTGGCAACGAAACGCTTCAGTATGGACCGACAAGGGACCATGTACTGATCAAGGGATAATCATACTAACACAACAGCCCTCAACTTGGCAGACCGCGCTTCAGTCGCTGAAGGTAGGACGCTGAACACTTGGAGAAACTGACCTTCAAGTAGGCCTGTCATGTCACAGCGAACGAGGCTGGAAACAGATGAAAAGAAGCGTGGGGCTTTGGGTGCGATGGAACCATGTACAGTAGGCACGTAGCTTAGCGTAGTGGCTCTATGGGCACGTCGAGTCCCAAAGCAAGGTTCTCAGACAACCAGCCAGTCTAGAACGAGCACCAGACGAGAACCCTGTGGATTTGAAATTGTCCAGTCTGGCAAGAAAGCTCCCCGTAAGTCCCTGCACATAGAAATGGGCACCCCCCTGTTTTGGGCACCCCAAAAAAATCACGACCATTTTCAACACCATTAATTCAATCCCTTCTCACTGCCCACCACCGTGCACTACGATACAATCGTCACCTATTTCTGAAACCTCAGCTTCGGTTTCATCAGATTCTTCATTCTCAGCTGCGTTCACCTCCTCCTGCGCCCGTCGTATTGCCTCAATATTGGCGAACCTCGAATTCGGGCTCGTGACCACCCTCTTTCTTTTTCGGCTTGACGGCCGCCAATTGTGTTTCCAGTGCCTGAATCTGCAATTGAGCTTTTGCTAAAGGCCATCCTTCTCGTCAAACCCTTTTGTGATCTTCCTGAACAGCAATCTCTTCGTGGGCACGTCGTCGTCTAGCTGGTTGAATTGAACTACCTGAACCTTCAGATCTTGCGAGCGCCTCGGGTCGACCACGCAATCTGGGATGTGTCTGATTGCCAGTCACTGGTGGGTAAGTGGCTATTGAATGCATTGGCCACATTTTTCGCGTTCTTTTGCGTCTGTTGCTGTTCTCCAGCAGAAGAGGGCTCAAAAGTGGCTTCGCCATCGACACCGGCCACAAACCCGTCGCTTTCCAGCCACCCTTGATGTTTGACACAGTGAGCGCTTGCTCGCGTGCTTTCTGGTAGCAGGAAAGAAAGTTTTGCTTGCCGACTGGGCTTGAATCGGTCAGGAGGCTGAGAAATCCGACCTGTTTGCGGTAGTAGTGCTTAAGAGCGGAGAAGACAGACAAATCGAGCGGTTGCAGCACATGAGAGGTATGGGGAGGTAAGAAAGAAGGTGAATCTGATGCTGGTAGCATAGATACATGAAGTCAACCGTCTCGTGACTTCCGTGGCCGTCCAATACTAGCAGTCTTCGCTCCGAAGGGTCGGGTGGCTGGGTTCTTGGAATGAACACCTTTCGAGCCACTCCACCGCAGTTTGGTCCGAAGTCCAGCCGTTCTTTGTCGCAGTGAATTGCCAGTCACTAAAAGTACTGAGATCTTCTGGGAACCACTGTTGCTGGACCGATTTGCCCTTGAAAATGACGGGTGGAGGGAGGAAGGTGCCGGCAGCGGACACGCACTCGATGAACGACGTCCAGACCCGAGAACCAGGCGTCTTCTTTTGTACAGATCGTTTTCAGCACTGCCAACGACCAGGCCATTCTCCCCAAGTCCTTCCATGATGCCTGCTTCATCCATGTTGTACCTGTTCTCCGGCTTAATAGCCAGAATCTCGGAAGGAAGAAATTGTTGAACCAAGGCCGAATTACCTCGGTAGAAGCGCCGTTGACACGCGCAGAGTCTCTGTGATGGCACTTCTGGGTCCGAACTGCAGGATTTCGTCTTAAAAATGCTTGCATCCAGTGTTTTCCGAGCGGTGTGGTCTCCTTTGACGGCGAGCATGCGCTGCGCGAACTGCCTGATCTGCGAGTGAGTGGGAGGAAGGCCCAAGGCGTCCTGAATGAGAATCCATTCGGTAAGTTGCTTTTCCTGTGTCTGAGAAAGCCTCTGAAGAGCAGAAAATGCATCCTTTCTGCATTCGTGACCATGCATGCGATTGTAAAGAGTTGCCCTCAGGACGCCCCAATCGCGAGCAGCCTTCTTGGCGGATCCGCCATTGGCGATTGCCTCAAGGGCGCTGTGAATGTCAGACTCTGTATATTTCATCAGTAGTGGCTTGAAGACACATGCGTCAATTTTTTAGCAGATTGGATGCGTTTCCGCGGTGAAATTTGCTGTTGAAGTTGACGCAGCCGTTTAGGTTGGGCACCCATCTTGGGTGCCCAAAACAGGGGGGTGCCCATTTCTATGTGCAGGGACTTACGTGCAGTAGATGTCACTAAGTTGGTCACATAAGGTCCTCAAGAGCATGCCCTCTGAGGTTCCAGGAGTTGCTTACAAAGGCAGCACCGGCAAAGCCAGTCCCACAGCCGGACGCAGCATCAGTTGCCGTTCCAGCTTTTACTGATCCTCCCCCAAGTGTTCCGGCGGTCCGAGGGCATCATTGCTCGGGGCTACACTGGATCCTCCTGCGGAAGCTGTTCGGCGCTCTCCCGCTGCTGAACCAACCCCATCTGTGCCGCCCTTAGTCTTACCTACTATGCAAGAGTCCCTTATAACTCTCCACTCTCCTGTCGTCCCAGATGGTCCGGTTGGAACTATGCCAAGCTCTGTTGAAGGAGAGCCATGCCGTTTGCGGGAGCCCCCTCTCGATTTACCGCCGAGGTACGACTCGCCACAAGCCATATATGGAAGATACGTTGCCGCAAGGAGCGCGTGGTACGCAGCGCAGCCCACTGGCAATATCACGACCAATCAGCAGTATCGCAGGGCGATGGGGCTCCCACTCAGGTACGACAAGCAGAGTTATGAGTGGTGTCTGGACTACAAACAGATGTCCAAGCGCTGTATCAGCTCAACAGGATCAAGAGAATGGACAAAAGAAGAGATGATGGCGTATTTGGATTGGAGCATGGCGGAGGATGAACGCATTGAAACCCAAGTGGTTAAAGAGATGGGAGATAATCCACTGGCAAACAAGAGAAGAGGCGTGAAAGACATATGGAAGAGCGTTGAAAGGGACAGCAGAGAGCAAAAAGCCTTACATTCGACCGCCGGCTCGGTAGAACAGTGTATTGTAGTCAAACCGTAGACAATTTGTGCTTTATGGCTCTCTAATGCAGACTACAGACCTGGGAACATGCCTGTAAGTTTGCTGTTTCATGGGCCAATGACATCTGCGGTTCTTAGTGGCGCGCCCGGGCGCGCAATTTTATTTGGGCGCCCGGGCGCCCATGTATTGGCCGCCGCTGAACAGGCCTGTATGGAATATGGAATATGGAACGCACCCCGTATGGAAACTTATTCCATACGTATGGAATACACGAGGTGACGTCATCCATTAATTCAGCTACAGGAAGAATCAGATGTTGAGCATCGCCACCTTTCCATCTCGCTAGCCTCCTCCTTCTCCTCTTCACCGGCCAAGTCTACCGGAATACCCTGTGTGATGCCACTCTTAATCCAGCTCTTCATACACTCTGCTCTCTCGATTGTATGACTTCCCAATCGGCATCGATCCCATGATATTGTGCGCCGTGCGCCGGAGAACACTCGCTCTGGCTCGGCCGACATGGCGGGTATGGAGAGGATATCAACGGCCATTTTGGAAAGACGGGGGTATCGCTGTTGCTGCTCCTCTCTTAGCCACCACGCAAGCGGGGAACAGTCAATGGCCACGGGGGGTTCTGCGGTGAAGGACTTGTACTCGTCGAGGTCCCTCATCGCCGGGCTAACGACATCAAGCTCGCGAGCAAGCAGCTCATACTCGTCAGGCGGCTGTAGGTTATCGCGTAGCTCAGGCGTTGTGGTGGTGATTGGTAGTCCCTGATAGTGATCCTCCCAATACTTCTTCACGCCGTCAAGGACTGGTTTGTGCCACGGTTTTGGCCAGTTCTTCTTGATGTGGGCCAAACGCCGCGACGGATGAACCATCATGGCTGCGCTATAGGCAGGACTCTCGTCTGTAAGCTGGTAATATTTGTCAAATATGGCCAATGCAGCTTCTGAGAGAATGGTTGTCACTGTGCTTCTGGAAGGCCTGTGTGTAATGCTTGTGAAGAACACCCATGGTGAAGAGCGTGCGGTCTAGAGTTGCATAGCGGCCCTCCGTCAGTTGGGTAGGGTTGGAGGAAGGCGCGTGTTTCCCGCAAGACTCGCCACTCATTACCATGCCCCACCCCCCTTTGGGTAACACCCCCCTTTGGGTAGCGCAATTGAGAAAACCCTCACCAAAAACCATCAATTTCACTTACACCGATTCCAGCCAGCTTTGAAGATATTCACAAGCCGTCACTTGGAGTAGATAGAGGATTGACTGAATTCTACTTTTTGATGGTTGAACGTTTGTACAGGGGTCTGTGGCCTGTGCGTACCTTGCACGCGAAATTACGATCCAGCCCCCTAATCTCCCTCTGCCTCCTGACGATGATTCTCCTTGTGATTCCTCCACCACCGGGCCAAAATGACCTCAAAGTGGCCTCGACGTGTCTACACGGAGGATGAAATGGCAAATGCTATATTGGACATCACAAAAAATGGCTTGTCGCAGTATCGCGCTGCCCAAAAGTACTACATACCTCAGCAGTCTATTTCCAACAGACTCAAAGGCCAAGCAGCCTTGGCTGATCAAATCCAGCCTCATAAACTCTTGAGTAAGACTCAGGAGGCTATTCTGGTGTCCTGGATCCTCCGTCAAGAGTCTCTCGGCTATGCTCCCTCTCACAGTCAGATCCGCGCCTGTGTCGAAGCTCTTATGAGGCAACTGAACAACGAGCAGACAGTGGGCCGCAATTGGGTCGCCAAATTCATCCATCGCCACCCGGGGATCAAGATCAAGCGTGGAAGACGTCAGGAAGCCAGTAGATTTAACGCTTTCACGCCTCAGGCGGTTCACTGGTACTTCGATATCAGGGAAAAGGAGTATGGATGGATTAAGCCGGAGAATACCGTGAATGTTGACGAAAGCGGTATTATGTCTGGCTTTGGTGAGTTTTTGACTTGCCTTTCATTATTATAACTAACCAAACTCCGTTTTCTAGGTTTGGATAGCCTTGTGGTTGGGAGTGCGGACCCAAAACGGAAGGCCCTTCTGAAAGGACCACAGTCCCGCAACTGGACCTTGTTTATTGAAGCTATCACTGCAGACGGCCGCGCCCTTACTCCTGGCATTATTTTCAAGGGCAAAGAACTCCAGAAGCAGTGGTTCTTGAAGGAATTCGGCAAAATAGCCGACTGGCAGTATATAACTTCGCCTAACGGGTGGACAGATAACCATATTGCTATTGAGTGGCTTGAGAGGGTCTATTTGCCTCAGACGCGGCCAGCCGATGAGTCAGATGCTAGACTGATCATATTAGATGGACATGGAAGCCATGCAACGGTGCGTTTTCATATTTATCTGCCTAGGAATCACTATTAACCGGAACCAGGATGCATGGATGGCCACGTGCTTTTTGAACAACGTTTATTGCTGTTACCTTCCTGCCCACTGCTCTCATGGCCTCAGCCATTGGATAACGGTGTATTCAATTCTATCAAGACGGCATATCGGAAAGAACTTCAGAATTTAACCTGCCTGACTGATTCTGCGCCCGTTGACAAGGTCCATTTTATACGGGCATATGCCAAAGCACGCGAAGTCGGAATGGCCGCAAAGAATATATTGTCCTGCTGGAGGGTCACTGGGAATTGGCCAATCTCACGATGCAAGGCATTGCGGCATGCAGAAATTCACGCAGATATGATAGAGACATCTCCAAAGTCTGCGCCATTTCTGGGGTTTGACGATACTCCAAGAACCAGCCGCCACATTCGAGACATTGGCAAGAACAAGACTCCTAGCACTCGGCGGCGTTTTGCCGTCATAGCTAAAGGCTTTGAAGCTCAAGAACAGACGCTTGCCGAACATAGCACCAGAATTGCGAAGCTGGAGGAAGCAGTGGCTCGGTTGCAGAGAGGCAAGAAGAGGAAAGCAATTACGAACCCGAACAGGCGGTTCATGACTCTTAGTGAAGCTTTGGCAGCTAAGGAAGCTATTCCCCAAATCAGAAGCCAAGAAATACTCGTTGTGGGGAATTCTGACACTGAGGAGGAAGAGGTCTCAGAAGTGGAGACAGCGTCAGTGATCGTGGTCAAGGGAGCACCTAAGTAACTTCCTGTCACCACTAGGTCCGGGAGAGTAGTGAAAAAGCGCCGGAATCAATAGGAGCGTTCATTTCTTTACAAAATGACTTAATTTTTGTATTTATCATTTTAAGTTCTGATCATATTGCATGTAGTTCAAATGTTAGACTTTTGGTGGGGATCTTTTCAAATGCGCTACCCAAAGGGGGGTGTTACCCAAAGGGGGGTGGGGCATGGTATGTGCACAGAGATGTTGTGGACTTTGCCAAGAGGTCCCAAACGACGCCAACCGAGCGCTTGTTGCGCCTTGACCCGTTCGGCGAAATCACTGCCATAGGCAACTGCGTCGTCGCTCTCAATCTGTTCCAGAGCTGCACGTGCGGCTTCTTTGGAGTCCATGAAGAGGAATGCTTGCACAGCGAGGTTGATGACATGGCCATGACAGCGAATCCTCTGCTTCTTTGCCTCCCAGCTGATGCCTTTCCCTCGAAGATGCTCGCTGAGCAACCTGCAAAGCTTGTCATTGGAACCATGGTTATCGCCGGTGTAGAAGCCGATCTTATTCCAGATGTTGTAGTCCTCGAGAACGTGCTGGAGTAGCTTCCATTGCTCAGCTCCACCATGACTTCCCGGTCCATCGAGGCCGGGTAGCTCTGACAGGGCCAGCAACGCCTGCATCGTCTCCTTAGCATCCATATCCACAAATTTGGCGCAAATTCCAAGGAATGCTTTGTGGTTTGGAGCCGACCAAACGTCCGCGGAGAGGTGGAGCTTCGACGGCGACGATTGCAGCTTCCTCCGAAGAATATCCTTGTGCACACAGTAGGAATTGGAGACTAGCTTTTGAATGGAGCCGTGAGATAGACTAATCAGATCCTCCGCAGTGTAGTTCACGGCACAAATGAGCGCGTGCAGTTCTGGCCAAGAGCTGCAGTTGTAGGAGAGATTGCGGACCGTGACGAGCTGCATCAGTGCCTCAAGTGCTGCCTTGCGATTAACCGCAGCTCGAAGTGTTTCCTCTTGCCTCGCTAATTGCTTCGCGGTATTTGCCTCACCAGCCTTAGCGAAGACATCCTGGATAAGGCTGTCGCGCCGTTTCTTGATCGGATGGTCATGGGCAACTAGCTCAATTCCGTGGATCTTGAGCAAATGGCGGCGAAACGTGGTTGAGACGGTCGTGGAAGAGGTGGGATCTCGGCAGTGCATGCAGTAATAAATCTTCTCGTTCTTCCGGGGGCAGCGTGCTGGCTCTGACTCCTGGGGCTCACGGGCGTGTGCCCAAGTGTTCGCGGTTGGCTTGCGCTTTCGGGTCCTGCAGCCGCTGTTGTCGGAGGGATTCAGTGGAACAGATGTTGGGGATGAGCGAAGCTCGATGGTGGACGACGGCGACGCCGCATGGCTAGTAGAGCCACCGGAAATGCGGGAGGACTGCTGAAACATTTCCGGGCCGACCCTATCACGACATGCGTGCTGGGTGCTGACTTCGGCGTGGAAACCTGATGGAATCCTCGCCGGTAACTTGCCTTAATCTTACGGACTACACGACCACTGAGATGGCCCCGGCGGTGTTAACATTTTTCCGCCCGTATTCCATACGTATGGAATACGGATAGTCCGTATGGAATATGGAATATGGAGTATGGAAATTTCCATACTCCACCACTTATTCCATACGAGTATGGATAGAAAGACTGCCGCCCGCCAGTCGACTTGCCTGTTCATCACTCCTTCAACCACGCCACCGCACCATACAAGACTCCATCACCGATTTGACAGATATGGGAACGAAGACGAACTTAACTACGGGACCCCCGGCTCCCCGGTGGTTGGCGGCTGCACGCTCTTGTTCGACGATCAGAGCGAGACGTCTGCGAGCGAGCCCGTCGTTCCGTTGCTGCAGTTGGACAACTGGGACCCTGATCAGTCTTACGACGAGTCTCCCCCCACATGCATTCATTACACGATCGAGAGGAAGCTGCTGCTAAACAGAGGAAAAGCAAATAAGTTGACTAACGATACCGAGAAGGATCTTGTCCTCGAGCCCGGTGCATTCGGAGACAGATGCCTGAAGTCCAAAGTAGAGGATATCTTGGAGAAGACACCGCGCCGGAAATCCTACAAACTTGGCGAGACAAACAGTATCGTATCCGTAACTGAACGCGGTGAGCGTTATTTCACTAAGCGTTGTGATGAATTGGACATAGATTAGGAGGTCATGGTAAGACGACCAGAAGACTGGAGCGGCCTGTTCCGAGCCGGGTTGAGATTTCGTTTATCTGTAATGATATAAACTCGCCTTCTAAAACTAGCTCCAGTACCGGCTCAGCAGAGACTTCCGCTTCCCAGAAGCGCGACGCCAATTTGACCGGAGGAAGTATCCCATAAACTTTAACCTTCCGTAGCTCAAAGATATGCCGAGCCGTAACGAGGGTGACTTAATTAAGTACGTCCAAAAACTTTCACGTAGGGTCGCGCGTCCCATATCGCCGTCACGGCAAAATGACTATTTGAGACGCCAATGTGCATATCCAACCGTCCCCTGTCCGAATCGCCGAGAAGGCTACAAGGGCTGCGCCATGTTTGCATCCGTCTAGATTATAAAAGGATTGGAGCTGCTGGAGCAATTCTTCTGGCTCTCCCCTCCAGAACTCTCCTTGCCAGTCTTCTAAAATCTGTTAATTTTCTCATTTCTCGTTCTCTTACACGCTCACCAATATTCTGCTTAGGGGCGATTATCTCCCCCCCCCCCCTTTTTTTTTACAATCCTTTCCCCCTTCGTTGCTCAAAGAGAGCATTCCAAAACAAAGGAATGTCAAGCCAAATGTCGATCCTCGCAGTAAGTGACATTAACCCCGGTGATATCGTAGACGGGAAAGGCCTTAACTAACAGCAGAGTCCCTGTCTCTTTCTCTGCTCTAGCGCGAGAACAAATTAGCCCGAATTCGAGACAACCAGAGGAGATCGCGCGCCCGACGGAGAGAGTATGTCGAGGATCTCGAACGGCGACTCAGAATATACGAGACTCGGGGCATCGAGGCCTCTACCGAGGTCTAGATGGCCGCGATGAGAGTAGCCGAGGAGAACAAGCAGCTCCAGGAGCTCCTCAACAGGCATGGCATTAGCGACGACCACATCGCCCATTTCTTGCAGTCGGGCACCTTGCCACTTGATTCGAACCAAGGCCAACCCTTTCACGCCGACAACCCTAGGGCCGCTGTCCAATCGCTGCAACAGCTCCTGATGCCGCGACAACTGGCCAGTCTAGATCGAGACTTCTCCCTATCTTTGCCGAGACAGTCGATCCGGGACCCCTCAACCACCAGCGGGTCGACCACGAGTTCGTCTGTCTGGGAGCCGTCGCAGCTCGCGACGTCGTACGGCTACAAACATCACATGGGCGTGGCTACCGCAGTCATGGGATCAGCTGTTCATTTTCCGTATCCACCGACCACCCTATTGAGCCGCGCGAGAACCACGCGACAAGGCCGCGCCTATGGCGGGCAACCGTCCCCGTCGATGCTCGACAGTCCCCGCCAAGCCATGGTAACAACATCGGCTATGTCTCCCGGCGGCCTACGGTAATGCACTTGCATTATTCTGTGCCGAATTATCCAAACGCAGTGATACCACATTGTAATCACCTAGGGAGCACCTACTGACACGCGTTGCTGAGGGCCAGCAGGGGCTTATCGCCAATTTAATGGGTTGTTGGAACATATATTGAAGATCGGCACCGTTGATCGAGGCCCTTGCCAATTCACTCAAGTCTTCTGGTATCTTTCACATAAGAGTAGAACGGACTTCCCTGTCGAGCTTCGTTGTAACCCCTGATGAGAGCTCCAGCGAATCATCCCGTGAGTCATAGCAGTGCAACTCTAGCCGTCTAGTGGCATATGTCTGCCCGGTTGACTCATGTGCCCTCCTCCTCTTTCGGAACTGTGATCCACTAGTGCTCTGCGAGCCACCCCTGAGAGGGAATGCCTAACGGTTGGCCTTACTCTCTGGCCATCCTTACATTAGATGATACGTGCATCCTTGGCCGGAACACCGTCAGCTTGCGCAGTCGCCCCCTTTCTAACGTCATCAGCAGCCAACTATTAAGTAGGAGCAGGGACAGACCTGAATCAGTCAGACTAGCTTGCAGGATCCCCTGTAGTGAGGGTCAGTGGGTGCAGTGAGGCTGCCTGCATGGTAAGGGGCGGGATGCTCAGGTCGGGATTAACAGCTTCAAGAAGCGGGTTAAGTTGGTGAACAAAGCGCAGGTGGTTGCAAGATGTGGTGGTCACATTGCGTCTCCAAATCTGCAAGGCATGGTCGGCCGCGTCCCAGAGACGATTCGTAGGAAGGAAAGTCGGCCCCAGGGTCGTGCCCGGGGAAGCCGGTATGACTAGAGGGCAGTCTGAGTGGCAGTCTCGACTGGGGCTAGAGCCGACCTACCTACCTGCTCCGTGGTTTCGTTGGCTGGGATATTTAACGCCGGGAAGAAGGGGATGTAAGGAGAAAGTTTGCAATGGAGGGGGCATGGGAGAGATGCAAGACGATGAGGCTGGATTCTGGCCTCTTGGTGCACTCATATTGCCTTGTTTCTCTAACCTGTAGCATCAGCGAGTTGTATCCTACACGGCTGAATGAGAAGAGACGTGTAGAGAAGCCAGAGAGGGCGAAATTGACAGGGAAGGATAGCCGCGACGGGAACCGGGTTGCCCATGTCGCCATAATAACTGCGGGAGTAAGAAGTAGTACCTCAGTGAGACATGCGTTACAATTGGGACAAGAACTGGGCATAACGGTTGGAGTTGTTGGTTACCCCCAATCATCTAGCTAGCCCCTGACGACCGTGACGCGCGCACTGCAACACAACCGTGGTTCTCTCAAAGTCAGGGGGGGAAGCATTGCCTCGCCAGCTCTATTCTCATCTACCCGCCATCGATCACAGGTTTCTTTCACCGCCTCCGTTTTCTTCAAATTTCATTCTACCATGTGCTCTATCCTTTGAGCAATATATGACAACATGGCACGACAAAGACGGCGACAACAAAACAACGGGGAAAAGCCAAAGCGGACGCGCAGCAAATCTTCTCAAAACAGGGCTCCCGGGAAGACTACAGGCACCTCTCGATGTGCTGATGGTCTATTCGACGAGGACATGAACGTTCCAGACGGTCTTCCGCCTTGCCATGGTCCGAAATTGCATCCCTCTGCACTCGCCAACGCGTCGATCACCTGGAAAGAGATGCTTGATGACCACTTGGAACCATATTCGGGCCACTCTGAGATCACAGCACATGTTTTCAAGGTTGAGATCGAGTCCAAGCACTACGCTTTGAAGGTGGTAGGTAGTGGTGAGGAGCCGTGGCAACTCGAGAGGTTAACTCTGTCTTAGTTTATGCCGTACTATACTTCGTATAACTGCCACCATTTTTGCACTGCGGGTATCCGCCGCACCGAAGAAGAGTTGGGTTGGCATATTATGCCCTTTTACTCAGAATGCCACGCATACGGTCGAATCAAGCAGGCGCAAGACAAGTGATTACTGCCGCATCAAGTCGCGGTTCCATGCCACGGGTACATCCGCTTAGAGGAAAAGGACATCCGAAAACTGGAGGATGAGTGGAACCTTGATTTCAGTGTTGAACAGGACGACGCCCTAAAAGCACCAATCCGTCCGATCTATGCCATTGTTAAAGATCTTGCAAGTGCAAGCTCCGGGGTCAATGCCAAAAGCTTGCCGCGCAACGTACGAGATTTGCGTTCTTTACACTCGATCGGGGTATTTGTCCGTGATATAAAGGAAGATGATTACCGAGATGAGAAGCTTGTCGATTTGGGAACTGCTTGGACTGCACCGCACGTTACATTGAGCCACAGCGCCACACGCTCCAGCGTCCCGCCCTGCACCTTATAGTCGGCGCAGGCGAAGGCCGCCGCGCATGGCAGGCCCCTGCGACTGACGTCGCTTCGCTGCCACGGCCGCTTCCGCTGCGCGTCGATCTTGACGCTGATGGGCGTCAGCAGGATCGTCCCGGCAGGCATCCCGACGAAGTTGAAGTCCTTGGTCGTCTCCGAGGCTAGCATGATGCCCGCCGGCGGCCCGAAGTGCATCGTTAGCTCCGCCGACACCCGGTGGCCGGGGAAGGCCCGGTCGGGGATGACCTCTACCGCCGTATACCCGACCCCGTTCACCAGCTTCAGCCCCTGGTGCGTGTTCTGGTTCACGACGACCGGCATGCCCGGCACGAAGACGAAGACCGCCGGCACCGGGGTCGCGCTGTCGTCGCCGTAGCCTAGCATTAGCGCCGCCTCCTCAGTCGGCACACCCTCCTTCCACTTATGCTCGGAGAGGAAGACGCGCGCCGCCGTCTGCTGCCGCGCCCGAAACGCGAGCGACGCCTCGAGGTTGAGGTTCCAGCAGTTCCGGTTGAGCGGCGTCACCAGCGTCAGGCCCGTCTCTCACGGAATCCGCCTGCCCGGCCGGTAGCACCTCGAGTTGAACAGCTCCAGGTCCGACCGGTCCTGCTCCCCCCGGCGGATCCGCCCGAGCAGCCGCCGCAGCTCCGGGTCACCGGCGGCCCGCATCTGCTCGTTTAGCATGACGACCGTCGTGAACCGCCGCCATAGCGCGTGCGCCTCGTTGTGCTGCCGCCACTGCTCGGCCGCGAACGCCCCGTCCTCGTCCCACGGCACCGCCGCGCTCGGCAGCAGGATCGACCGCTCCTGCACCGGCCGGAACTGGTGGAAGTCGCCGCAGAAGATCACCACCGGGATCCCGCCGAAGTCTCGCGTCGACCCCCGCAGCCGGCAGAGCTGCTCGTTGGCGGCGTGCAGCGTCCGCGCCCCGAGCATGCTGACCTCGTCGATCACCAGCACCTCCTTCTCCTGCCAGTCCATCCGCGACCGGCCGTCGACGAAGCGCTCCCCCTGGCCCGGCAGCCGCACCCCGTCCACCTCCCTCGTCGCCCTTCCCGCCTGGCCGCCCTGGCCTATCGCGAGGCCGCAGGCCGAGTGCAGTGTGATGCCGTTAATCCGCGCTGCCGCCGTCCCCGACGTCGCCGTAACCAGCAGCCGGCTCGATAGGTCCCTCCAGGCGAGTAGCTCGACGAGCGCCTCGATGACGTGCGACTTGCCGGTGCCGCCCTCGCCGCCGATGAATAGGCAGAGCTGGCCGCCCTCGCCTGCCCCGTTGCCTGCCCCGTCGCCCTGCCGGATCCGGTCGAGCTGCCGGTATACGATTAAGAGGGCGACCGACTGCTCCCCGTTGAGCGTCAGATGCCCCGCTAGCTCCCTGCCGGCGGCAACGAACGAGCTCGACGGGCCGAGCCGCACGCGCATCCTCGCCGCCGTGCCTGCGTCTGCGTCGCCGTCGGCCGCCGTTACGTCCATGTCGTCCTCGCCGAAACCCCCCATCACCCCGCGAAGAGCCGCGCCGCGGTCGGCCCCGACGCCCGCCGCCGCCCCGCCGCCCTGGATGCCCTGGATAGCTCGCTCCCGCTCCCGTGCCGCGCTCCTCTGCTGCGACTTGATGCCTCGCACCTCCTCCTGCCGCGGCAGTGCCACCCCCGATAGCGCCGAGCCCGGCAGGTTCACCCGCCTGCCTGCCCCTTCGTCCGCCACTACCGTCGCCGCGAGCTCGACTGCCGACCCGAGCGCCGACTGCTGGAACCGGCAGAGCTGCTGCGTCATCGCGAGCAGCCCCGTCGACTGTGCCGTTACCTGTCCCGCGCTGGCGGCGTTCCGGACGACGTCGATGAGCCGCGCGCGTCGCCCGCTCCGCCGGCACTGTACGCCCCTTCGCCGCCCTCGCCCTCGGCCTGCGCCGCCGCCGTCTTGCCTTCCTCCGATGTGGCGGCCGACGTGGCAGCCCACTGCTTGGCATCGCGCTTCGCGTCCTCTGCCGACCGCCACGTTGTCCACGAGCCGGGCGACCCCCGCGCCCGCGCCCAGACGTCGTTAATGTCGCCCGCGTCTACGCCGACGAAGGACTCCCACGGCACGAACAGGGCCAGGTGCTGCACCGCCGCCCTAGTACGTCCCGTTAGTGTAAGCCCCTAGTCGCGCGGCCTTCTCCCCTAGGCGGCCCCATTCTTGTGATACGCACCTCCGGTGGCACGACTCCTCGTCTTCCTCGCCAAACTCCTTGCTTAGGAATCCGTCGAGGCGCACGCTCGCCTCTGTGTCGGTAAGCCTCGACGAGGGGGATCCTCGGGCCGGCCTCATCGACGACGACCGTCTCGTCCGGCGCGTCGCCCGTCGCCTCTGCGCCGCTCGCCCGTCGGAGGTGCCGCCACCGGCGGAAGACGGCGGCCCAGTAGAGCTGGTTCACGTTGACGTACGCCCACGCCGCGCCGCTGCTAAACTCGATCGGGTACCCTAGGGGGTGCGCCACCACCTCGAACTGCGACAGCGGCCGCTCCGTGAAGACTCGGTTCGCTGCCCTTAGTAAAAACGCCCTCGTCTTATTCCCCCCTACGGCGTCTACCGTCGCTACCCCTTCCGCCCCGCCCCCCCGGCCGGCGTCGCCGTCGGCGCCACTTCTGTTGCCTTCTCCCGTCGGCTCTAGCGCAGGAAGGAACTCGGCCGCGGCGACCACCCGCTTCCACACCGGGCCCTCGACCTTTGTCGCATAGTTCGTGATGTAGTAGATTAGGGCCATGGTCTTGCGCTGCGTCGCGATAAACGAGATGTCGTGGTTATGCCGCAGCCCTACTGCCATCGCCCTGTTCCACCGGTTCACCATGCTATGCGTCCGCCGGATCTCGAGCACCCGTCCGCCGTTAGCGCCGTCCTCTCCACCAGCCTCCACGGCGCCTTAAACCGGCAGAGGTCTCCCTTCCGCGCCCCCACGCCGAGCGAGCATTTTACGCAGGTCGCGCTATGCGTGTGGATCTGCGTCGCGCCCGCGCAGAAATTGGCCTCCTCGTCGAAGGTGTCCGTGAAGCGCGCGACGTCATCAAGCCGCGACGATATGTCCGCCGTGGCCGACCGCTCCGCCTGCACGGCGCAGTAACCTTCTGCGTCTAGCTCCTGCGGCCTCGGTTTAGCTATGGCCCCTCCGTCTGCCCCGGATAGGGGCTTAGGGGGGGGGTGGGGGGGGGTCGTCTTAAGGTGGCCGCCTTACCTCGGAGAAGACGCTGTCTACGTAGCGGACGATGCGCTCCCGGTACGCCGCCTGCTCCTCCGTATCGGGGCCGGCCAGCGCCTCGCCGAGACCCGCGTTGCCTTTGAGCCAGAGGAGCCCGTGGATGTGGAGGGCGCCTCGCTCGTTAGTCTCTACCGCGCCGTAGTACGCGCCGACGTGCCCGAACACCGACTCCTCCCCGATGTTGACGTAGTGCTCGAAGAAGAGCGTCATCTCCCGGTGGAAGAAGATGGTCGAGTTCATCGGGTCCGATATGGCCAGCCGCGTCCGATTATACGCGGTCCCCAGGTCTCTAAGGAAGGCCTCGGCCTCATCGGGGTCGCGGGCACGGTGCGCCGCCAGCCGTAACTTTACCAGGTTCGTAATGTCGTTCGGGTTCAGCGTGAACCAGATGGCCGGCACCCCGTGTCTCACGATAAGAGACAGTATCTTCCTCCGCATGCTAAGGCGGCTCTCCCTCGACATTGGTTGCCGATAGCCGAGCACGGAGAGGGACCGGAGGAGCCCCTTCACCCCGTCGTCGCTAGTCTTGCCCGTGGCCTCGAGCTCGTCCCTCGCCGCCTCGAGCCTCGGCGCCGTTAACGGCTTGAGCAGGCCCTCGACCCTTGCGAAGTTCTTCCTCGTGACGCCTAGCATGCTGGACTGCCGGTTCCTAGACCGCACGCCCATGTTGAAGACGAGGAAGGCGAATATAGGGTGCGTCGCGAGCCGGCCGCCGTGGCGCCGCAGCACGACGTCGGCCCACGCTTGGAGGGTAGGGGTGATAGACGAAGGTGAAGATTTTGAAGATTTTGAATGAAGGATGAATCAAATGAATTGAATTTTTTGGATCTTGATTCAAAATCTTCAAGCTCCAATTTTCGCGATTCAAGTTGGGTTTGGGCCAATTCAGGCCATTCATGAATGGTTTGAAGGATCCCTAAACGAAGTGAATTTGGTGTGTACCTGAGCGATTGCAAAGATGCCTCAAAAACGCCAATAAGTAGTATATAGTTTTAAGTTATAGCCTTCTAAGAAGTCGATAATCCCGAATACTACAAAAATTAACTTACATAAATACTGATCCGCCTGTCCTAGGCAAATCGACTGAAAATAAGCACTTTCAAAGCTCTGCCGAATCCTCAAAATACGTCGGTACAACGCGTTCGAATCCGCCACTGTACACGGCTACACTCTTAGAGCCCCAATCCTCCGAAGCCTCCATTGTATCTAGACAGGGGGTTGATATCGCAGACTTATCGGCTTGGGATGCAGGAGGTTTGGGGTAGGGGTTCGGTGGGAGCCTCGGTGGGAGGAAGAGGTTGAGGAGGATTCTCGCCTGAACACAGATTAGCATATACCTACATATATAATGAGGGTATATCCATACATACCATCTTCCAGCTTGCCCGGAATGTGGTCTGGTCTCCAAATAATACTATTGGCAAAGGGCAGGATGTCATACTCCATGGCCGCCTTGATCAACGCCTGATCGATCTTATCTTCCTGAGTATAAGCACTCCGTAAAAGTGTTAGTACTCGCACCGTATCTGCCTTCAAGGCGTGACGGCGGATACCGAATTCGTCTCTACAACCGCTGAAGAGGCGTTCCACGTCAACTTCAGAGCCAGAGACAGAGAGAAGATCACGCGCCGCCGCAGCCAAAAGTGGCCACTCGACCTTGTGTTCTTTCCACCACTTCAGTAGGAAGTCTGGAGACTTTGCAATAGACTCGTCGAACTCTATTCGAGGAGCTGCAAGCCACCGTTCAAGCTCCGAAATAGGGATCGCCGCGCCCGTCTCCGCCTCCCTCGCCTTCTTCATTTGGATGGCTCTCCATTGCGCAATGGAGACTCCTTGAGACGCTCAGCTGGCCTGGATTGGCTCATAGTTGAGTTTGTGGCATTCAATGCTGCTAGCTCCGCCACTCCGTTTTGAAATACTTCTTGACTTTAGCCATAATCTCAGAGTATTGATCCGGTATCATCATTTCCAATTGGTGAGTTTTATAACGCGGATCCAGGATGTGAGCTGCGAATAGCATCATTTGATCGTCAAGCTTCTTCATATAAGTAACGTGTTTTGCTTTGCCCTTCGAGAAGGCGTCTCGAATGGACATATCAAGGTCTGTAAAGTCGCCAACTCCTTCGACTACATCATCAGGAGAGCTTCCAAATCCCAATAGATATCGAGACTTTGTGAGATCGGCGGCATAACTTCGGAGACTTTCAGAGTGTGGTCTTTAAACGGCTTCAGAACCTTCCACAGTTGATAGAGAGCGACAATCTCTTCTGATAAGGGCAGGAGGCACTTGACTTGCGGGTGAGTATCAACGAACTCAGTATACTCTGCCTCAAGCTCGAGGAATTGGTCAATCATGTCGTAGGCCGAATTCCAGCGAGTGTCGACATCGTAGATTGGCTTCCGGTAGTGCGTGCGCGGCATGCTTTTGAAGTCTTGCTCCCTAGACCCGGATCTCAACATCCAGAGATTGAGGAGGCGGATTTTGGCAATCCACTTCGACTAGAGTCTCCCGGAATGGTGTAGTTGTTGCTTTTATTCTCTTCGTCCCACTTGTCAAGCATCTTCTTGGCTTCCTTCGCTGTGCCTGCTTTGAGATCTTGCAAGACGCCCTCACAAATGAGCGAGGTAATATGAGCTAGACAGCGGATCCAACTCTTCCTGCCGTGAAAGCGCATGCGGGCCTCCTATTGGGCTCACCTTGTCGTCGAATTTGGTCTTGAGAGAATCGTACAAAGACTGACAGAGCGTGCCGTTATTGCCGGCGTTGTCTCCGTAATGGCGAGAAGCTTAGGCTTGAGCCTGAGCTCCTCAAGCGTCCTCTCAACTATCTCAGCTAATTGTTTGCCAGTGTGAGATCTTTTGAGCTCAATAAACTCAATAACTCCTCTCTCTCCTCAAACTCCGGTGTAATCCAGTGCGCAATAATGGCGAAAATGGGCACCCGATTCGGTGCTGTCCAGATATCAAGGGTGAACGAGATGGTGGCACAATTGTACTCAAGCTCAATCTTCAGCTTCTCCTGCGTTCGACAAAGTCTGTATATATATGATTGCGTAACGTTATACGACTCCTGTACACACATGTTGTGTTGTGAGCCAAGAACATCTCTTGAAAAGCAGGAGTCTCGACAACAGAAGGGTTGTCGGTGTTTTACAAACCACCGGCGGATAGACTCCTTTGCCGTGAGTCTTGCTCTCTGCCTAGGTCGACCGCTCCATGCGTCTGCCTCTGTATAATCTCCTCCACCAATGGCGCGGCCGTATCCATTAATTCGAGCGTGGTGAGATTCCTTCGTAATACCGTGGATTTTTAAATGGTCTCCCATGCCAGAGGTAACCCCTCGGCGGTTCGATTCGAGGACCTGGAATCTCTTCCGAAGAGTATTGGGATTTTGAAGGCACTCTATACAAGTCCACCGGAACTCTTGGAAGATCTTCGGCCCATCCTTATCCTCTGAGTAAAAGCTTCTGTCTATAGCTTCCTCTGCATATACCAATAGACGTGGCTGTTCTTGTCTCTCTTCTTGCGAACATGCTTTTGTTTGTTGTCGGCCCACTTCTTGATAAGTCCGGCTTTCTCTGCGAGCGTCATATGACTACTGTTCAATGGCGGCTCTGGTGTATCCGCGTCGGGCATGTCATCATCTGACTCACAGTCAGGATGACCCGGGGGCGCGCAGACAATTGTATCTTCGCCAGTTGGAAGAGGAGAGGAAGGAGCCGGGTTGCGCTAGAATCAGCGCGCGCGCGATTCCGAGGTTGAATTGAGGACGTTCGATGCGGGCATAATTCTGCGTTGGCAATTTACGCCGGGTCCTTGGAGCAAAGAAATTCGCTGCGGCAGATGTTTTTGTTTCAGCAGGGCCATACTACGTATCATGTTATAATTAGCTATCCACTCGTAAGGTAATTAAATAAGGAGGGTAGATTGGAGAGTAATGAAGTTTTACCTGATCTTGGCTGAAAGGCTCGAGAATGGACGCGACACAGGTAGTCGGAACGACACCAAATAAACCACAATAAAGTGTCAAGGAGTCGGGGTTGAACGGGTAGGATAGGTCGTCGGTCAGGGCGTTGATTCGGGGGCTGATCCGAAGCCGCTGTCGGAATATCGAAGCAGGAATTAGGCGAGGTCGTGGTAAAATAATGTCGTGGCAGTTGTCGCGAAGACCGTTGCGCCACGCAGGCAAAGGTGGATGGGCTGACGACCCTGTCTTTCCGACAGCAGTAGAATTAACAGGTGGTCAACTGAGCGGAAATAACGCGTCTGAACGCGGCTAGTTGGCACAATATATCCTTATCATGCAGATTTTTCGGGTACTTCCTGATCGGCTAATTTGTATGGACAAACAAGTAGCAGTCATATTGGGCTCGAGGGTAGATAAGTCCTAACAGCCTCCAAATCGCGAGCTGACTCGATTCGTGTCACTTCCAATTGTTCGCGCAGTATTGAGATGTTGAGGATCTGAACGCGGTTTTCGAATCAGCTTGCTGGGGGCTGTACAGCGGTATAATTATTATATTATATATCCAGAATATGGGTTGCCGAGCTTAATATGTGCTTGAAATGTAGTATTCCAACCAAAAAATGGGCTATCCATTGATTGCCTTCAAGATGATGTGGCATTTCTTGAGCAAATGTTAACGACATGTAACTATCGAGGTTATATCATCCGAACGAGAAAATCCAGAACATTCGAGCGGCACTACATTTAAATCATGTGCATTATAAAATGGCACTGTTCATGAGCTTCATGGTGTTTTTAATACTCCGTATAGGGTGGCAAGATTGCTGAAACGGTGGCGTATCAGGCACTGTTAGGTCGTTATACCACAATATATGGACGCCCTAACTGCCGTCCTTCGCCTCGATTTCCCCAGCGACGCCCCCGCCAGACGCGGGCGGCGCGGGACTAGGATTTTGCCAGTGGAGTGTGGACGGTGGAATCCAACTGAAACACGCACAACAGACTTTTAAATACGCAGAGCGTCATCACAAGCGCGGCCGAACTCGAAGTTACCGTGTCCGCGCGGGCAAACCCTTAATGATGGGGTCAAAGCAGCTTGTTTATTGATGTGTATGTGAGCCTGCCGAGGAAGAACAGGGAAGAGGCCCTTGGTGGGTGGCTTCGGGTATTGACCCTTTCCTCCCTGTATGTCCCTTGGCCGCGAAGCGGGTGATAATTTTTCGCCTTACGTTTCGACCATATCGCCATTCATTCACAATTTTTATGAATGAATTGAATGAAGACTCCTGATTTTTGATTCGTCGAATTTGAAGACCTTACCCGATTCGGCTTCATTCAATTCAAGGGTCCCGAGGCCGATTCGACTTCAAAATCTTCAAATATCAGCCCTATTGGAGGGTCATGTTCCGCGTCGATATAAGGGCCTCCGCGACCCGCTCCGCCTCGGCGCCCCGGTTCCCAACGCTAGGGGCTGCGTTCTCCGCCGCGGTGGCCTCGTCAGCGAGCCTCGGGCCCCCCTACGCCGAAGGGGAATAGGCACGAATTGGTAAAGCCGATTTCCCTTGCGATGAACAGCAGTACAAAGCAGGCGTGGAACGAAGAAGTGGCTTGGTTTAACGAGCCAATGAGACGGAGGGAGCATGGTACGCCGCAGGATGCAAACGACGTACAGTTTCACTGCAGCATTCATTTCCACAGTTGACCGGGGAAGAGACCCGGACATATTTCATAGGCGAAGCACAAGGAGAGCGGATCGATCATGGCCGCGTATGCGGCTTGTCTATATCATCCAATGATGCCTTGACAGGGGTAAAGCGGTTATGGAGCAACACGTCGGGGAGACATATACTTAAGGGTCTTGATGTTCGCTGCCTCAGTTTCTGTTTCAATAAAGACTTGGTTAGCTTCGGAAGCAACCCGTGAGTTCTTGTCCGTTCGCAGGAAACAAATCTGGGCGTCGGACGAGAGTTACTAATCAGTGTCTAGAAACACTAACCATGACGACCCATGGCAACGTGGTTGCACATCAGCAGGAGCGGGCCCAAGGAGCCAAGGGCCAAACCTTTTTCTGGGGCAAGGAGTTCGTACCTGAGAGTAGCGGAGCCGGCTCCCTCTTTCAGAGTCTTTTCTGGCTTGCCAAGAAGCTGTACGAGGGTCAGATTTTAGATCTCGCTAAGTCGACGACGAACCTTTCGTCTTTTTGGTGCCCCTATGTGGGTGCAGGGGACGTGGCTGTTGTTGCCGTCTACTTTCTTTTCAACCGTCCCGATGAGATGGATATCTGTTGGCGGGAGCTGCGAGGGAACCTAGCGGTAGCCGCTGACGTGTGGCAAAGGTGGCCCGATGCTTTGGCGACCGGAGAGCAGGATTGTACCATGGTCTTGCTCTTTGATCCATCATCACCTTTGGAAGGGCCGTTGGAGATGGAGGAAGCGGTGCAAGCAGTCCAACATTTCATGGGTTATTGTTCCAGAAGGGAAGGGGGGCGTCCCTGCTGGAAGGACGCACACTCTGCCCTCGTCGAGCTTGTTCCAGAGAAGAAGAAGGAACAGTGGTTTGCATCTCGCCTTTTACTACTTTCTTTTTTTGGGCAGCATAGTCGTTGTCCCGGTCAGCCGTTTCCTTGTGAAACGAACTAGCCGACTCTCTCTAAACAACCCCCACTTGCCGCGTTTGGTGGTGACGATAGCTTCATCCCCCTCAGATTGGTGTGCATCGCGGTAAGAGCATCACTGGATGGCGACAGTGTCATTCGCTTGCCAACAGAGCGCCGAAGAAAGCTTATGGCCACACGCAAGAGCAAGATCAATATTTTCCAAGCGAAACATGGCACTTTTCTTGGCATTCCTCCCAGCAAGGAAGAGGCAAGGATGCTCACACCCCTTCTTGGGTCTGGGACACTTCTCCAAGCATTTGACCGCTTTGTGCAACATATCAGAATGGCTCTTCCAAGGTAGGGATGGCCGCAGTAGAGTCTTTCAGACGGCGGGTTCTTGGACTCTGGAGTATTGTTGCTCTTGGCAGGCTTGGGGAGTCTTGTCCAGCGTTTGATGTTATTGCAAATAAGCACAGGTGCTGATCCAAGGGGACAAGATGCACCACCTACTTTTTGAAAAGCTGTCTTTATTTAGAGCTAACTTTCTCCGGTCTGGACATAGCGCACCGCTTCATGATCATGCTCAAAGGTTCTGGCGTGGGCAAGGGCACGGGCATCTGGGCCATCGACATTGCCGACGCTTACCCTTCGGCCGGTATCATCGGGCACCCACATCAGCTCAATCCAGCCAGCGTGGATGCGTTCAAACTGAACCAAGCATGAAGGCCTAAGTACTTCAAAATGCTCCCTCAGAAAAGCACCTCAACAGCCAGTATTCTCTCCGCCCTTCTCCCGCTGTTTGCCCTCGCAATCCTATCCAAGTAGAAGAACCGTAGCGCAGGTACAAAGAAAGAAAAAGGGATCCCACGATACCCAACGAGAGGGCATATGCGGAACCAGCCGGGCGAGCGACTCAGATGATGTTGAGAGGCGTGTGCCGCATCTTCTTGGGCGTGTGTTGGAACCTATGAAAGGCCTCCTGGATGTGGGGGAGCCTCGATCGGGGTCTTGCCCTCGCCGGAGGAGGCCCACTCGCGGAAGCGCTTGCCATTGTGCCAGGTGAAGGAGGTCTGGCGGTACCCGGAATAGATGACGTATTCCTCGCGCGTCATGACCTTTGTGTGCTCGTCGGCCCTGCCGAGGCGCTGGAGGGTCATGTAATCCATCTCGTCCCCTTCTTCCTCGTCCTGTCGCTGCGCTGGGGGACCTCGACCGAATAGTGAGACGCCGCCCCCCAGAGGAGGTTAACCTTGGCCTTCTTGTAGTTCCTGGCGGCTTCATCGACGGAGCCGCCGGGCACGACGCGGTCGAGGGGGTCATCGCCGATGACTAGGTCGGCGTCCGCACCCCTGTCATCCGAGTCTTTAACGTTCTTGCGCACGTCCTAGCACGAGGGCCCCGAGCGATCATCGACGACGCGGTCGAGGGGGAGAGACGGAGCGGCGCTAAGTTCGAAGCAGACCAAACAACGGTCACGCGAAACGCCGCAGGGGCGAGCAATACGCTATTTGCTTAGGTAGCGCCTCTTCGTGCCTTTGCTTTAGGGTGCTTCGAATGCTGCTCGAAAAAGCAGTAGGTGTCGCGAAGACCGTTGCGCCACGCAGGCAAAAGTGGAACGCGCTCCGATAAGAGCACTGCAATTGACGTATGTCTTTCTTCTCAACAGTAGGACAAGCAATACACCTTGTCGTAGTGTCCTGTGTCTGCAGTTGCGATGCGCATTCCTTCCATGGGACGATGGTAGGCAGCCATGGACAAACATTCGTGAAACCTACGAACAAACTGCCTGTCCGAGTCTAGGCAGAAATGAATTGACGTGTTATCGCCAGGATAGTGTCGAAGTATTCTTAGGTATAGTTGGAGAGAAGAAAATGGAGAAAGGGGGACAAGGGGTCTCTGAGTCGTGCGTGAGAAAATGACCAAGAGCTAAAACTTGCACTGCCAGACGCCTCCTCTTCAAGATTTACTTCAGCAACGCTACTTTTAGGTACATGTGCCCAAACACCTACAACGATGCTGCCCTGGCCGCGACGGGTAAATGGAGCTTCGAGGGCGGTCTGCAGTGCATACTGTAATTACATCAGAGGTACAGTAATTGCTTTGTTGCAGTTGCACTGACTTGAGGATTCACCCCAAGGCGGGGGTCACGTGCGAGACCCGGGGGGCCTCCGACCCTCATTGAGACGTCACCCATAGCTAGCTCTGTGTTGCTCCGAATACTGCTGTTGGTTCAGGATTTATGCACGGCGGGTCCACATGCATTAGCGCGTGCTGTGATGTCTGCGGGAGTATCCTTGCACATGCAGATCGTGGCTCAGCCACATTTTGCGCCTCTGCATGCATGGAGTCTGTCATAGCCAGGATGCAAGGGAGTACTTGCGAAATGCTACCTGTGGTGCCGCCCCTCTTCTTGAAATGGTTGCCTCACGTAAGGACATGGACGTTGTTGTTCTTCAAGGAACTGCACCGGTAGCCGGAACCCTCTCCCGCTTCACACCTTCTTAAGATGGTTGCCACACTCAGCAACGGTCAAATGTCAACGCCTTTGTAAGTCGCCGCGCTGCAGCCAAAATGCGCCTCTGCTGGCTGCCCTGCAGCCAGTAAGCACTCCTGCCTCATGAGATGGATGCCTCCATGAGATGGCTGCCGCCATGAGATGGCTGCACACCTGATAAGGACTAGGACATGATAGGTCTGAAGCATACTGTAGTGGGACATCTATCGGAGGGATCGAAGCCCCTCGCGCCCAATGATGCTCCTCTGTCGCCAGATGACGCCGGCCTACGCCGGCCCCTAGCAGACGGCACCGCCTCCCAAGGTTCTGCCGACCGCTGGGGATGACACACATCAGCTTGAATCCGAGCTGCGACGATTACGTATCTCCCACGTGAGATCGACGAACTGAAGATGATGCCCAATGGGCATCTATTCAGCGACCGTCAGTACTGATCCCAGACCCATCTGGTCCCGAACCGCGGCGACAAGCTCTTCATGCTTGCGACGTATGCGCCAGGGTGTTGAGCTATAGGGCCCATATCTGGCGTCCACAAAAATATGTCTCTGTACAGGGTCATCGCGAGCCAGGCACACTCACTCCCTTGTATTCCAACGTTCTTGGCATCAACTGTTAAGGAATTCGCTGTGCACAACAAACGGCCGCTAACAAGGGCGTCCAGCACCACGCTCAGCGCAAGCTGAGGGAGGCGATGGCGCCCAACCCCGTGGACGAGGCGCGACTGACATCCCAAGAACAGGAGCCGATGACTCCTACGAACGCTCCTGGAGCCAGAGAAGCGCTCCTCCAGCAGCCCCCCCGCGACGGTCTTGCCAAACTGCAGTTGCGACGATGCGCACAGTAACCTGACGGCTCCCCATTCGGTTCCACGAGCTGCAACAGCGCCAACACCGACATCGACCAGCAAGATGCTGTAATGGGAGACGTAGCGGACGAAGCCGAGACCAACAAACCCGACGACCTGTCCGAGGCTCGAGGCCCAGCAGTCGTTGTTGCTCACGCGGCGGAGACTCATCGCCAGCCAGACAGAAGTACAGCAGGCAAAGCTGGCCGTCTTCCGCGCATTCTGCACCGCCTTCGACCGGATGGCCACGCGCTCAACTTCGCCAAGGACTTCTCGCGCAGCTTCCTCAGCTACTCAACGGCGCGCCCACACGCGCGGGCAAGAACGCCAATAACTGCCACGGAAGAAACGGGGCGGCTGCCGCAGCGACCTACGCCGCTATGGCCCGGAAGGGGATGGCGCAGCCAGGGGGTGGCCGCCCCTACCGGCCGGCCCCGACCCACAACCTCGGAAGGCCCCACACGTCCAGCCGCCTAAGGGACGACCTGCGCGTCTTCGTGCGGCTCACTGACGGATCCCCAGCGTGGGGCCACTAGGGGAGCCCACGTAGCCAAGACGGTCAATCTTGGCATAGAACGCATGCCACAAGTCGCCCGAGTGAAGACCGGATGGCCATTCGTGTCTTAGACCGGGAGGCGAGGGACTTGCTGATTGAAAGGCAGGGCGACTGGGCGGCCTGCCTCGGAGCCGAAGCGGTTGAAGGCTTCCAGAAGTGGCACACTTATGCGGTGGCCGACTGCCCCAGGCAGCTCACGGATATCTGGGGGTCTGCAGTAGACTATGGCCAAGCTATCAGAGAAGAGATCAAGCTGCGGACAGGCGTGGAACCAGTAGACGTTCACGAAGCCAAGAGACACGCCGAGGGCTCAGACCGGCCTACCGTGACGATGATTGTGTCGTTCAAGGCGGCTATACAGGAGAGATGGCGACTCTTCGGCACCAGCCGATTAGCGCGACCGATCACCAAGAACCCCCGACCTACCTAATATGACAATTGCTGGGACTACCAAAAACAGGCGTGCCGACGCTGCGGCGGAAAAGACCATCATGGTGACGACTGTGATCGCCCGGAGAGGTGCGCGAACTGCTTCGGGCCCTTCCAGGCAGACCACAAGGGGTGCCCTGCCAGACCCAGGCGCTCACACGGCCATCTCGTGCGGCTGTCTAAGATCGAAAAGTACGCAGTAAGGAAGATGGGTTCCCGGCTATATCGGCAAACCAACATGAACTCGAACGGCTGGCGCCAACCACCTCTCCCCAGCCATCCCAAGGACCAACCCCTTTACCCTGCGCAAGAGCCGTCGAGGCCCGCCAGATGAAGCGGCCACCTCCCTCCAGCGCGCAAGCGCCCGACCCCACGGCGCTTCTTCCACTTCAGGACGAGATAGTGATCGCAACAGACAGCCCTGAGTCTCCCAAAAAGAGACGTCGACAGAGCACGCGCCCGGGTCCCTATGAGTAACAGGTCCCCGAGACAAAGAAGCCGCGACAGGAGGACGATCCGAGTTCTCCAGGCCAACGTCGCAAAAGCAGTGCCTTATCATAGCATGGCCCTACGACTAGCAGAAACAGAAGATTACGATATCGTGCTTATTCAGGAACCGAACGTCTGGATAGAAAAAGAGAGCGGGACATGTAGGATCCAGACACCAGACCTTCCACGCCTTTGCACCAGAACGAGCATGGGATCCAGACCAGGCCCCGAGGGTGATGTCTTACGCCCGTAACGATGCGAAGCAACGTCCGGGGCAACACCATCGACCTGGCCTTTGCTAATATTCCCGCCGCTGACGCGCTTATAGAAGACCACCTCTTCACAGGCTCGACAACTTCATGATCAGCATCACGCTCCCTGGCGGGACTCTCCTGCCTGCGAGAACAGTCAGACCAAGGGTAAGCTCGGAGGAAAAGATGAAGCGAGAACTTGTGCGAGCTGGGGTTGTAGAGCTGCCCCGACCGGCAGCTGGGGCCCGGTACCTGGGGAGACTGGCCGAGGCACTGTCTCGCCTGCTTCAAGAAGCGGCCAATGCCGCGGGCCGGCGGCCTAGAAAGAACACAAGAGGCACCGCCTGGTGGAACGACGAGCGTGCCGCCGCAGCGGCAGAACTGAGAGCGATGAGAAGGATATTTCCCACAGGGCACGGCAGGCACGTCCAGGTAGCCCGACGGGGGCTGCGCCAGGCGGTCCGGCGAGCCAAGAGACGCTTCTGGCAGAGGATCTTGGAAGGCGCCGAGAGCAACCAGGATGTCTACAAGGTCATGCGGTGGTCGAGGAGGCCGAGTCCGTTCCGGGCCCCGCCTATACAAGTAGGCGGGGCGGTCTACGAAACTCAGACGGAAAAGGCGGACGCACTTCGGGCCGAGATTCTGGAGAGGCGCGCGGCCGCAGACGACATCCCCTGGGCTCCGGAGGTGCGGGCCCCGCACAGAGCCGTCAACTGCAGCGTTACGCTAGCCGATGCGGCGCATGCCTGCACGTCCACCGGGAACACCTCAGCACGCGTTGGTGCCCCGGCCATACGGGGATCGCCGGCAACGAGCGGGCCGACCAGCTAGCAAAGGAGGGCTGCCGGGCCGAGGTCCGGACAGATCGCCGACCTACGCGAACATCAAGAGACAGGCCAAGGCTGCGGCCAGGCGCGACTTCCAGGACTGGTGGGCTGCGGGGCCCTGAGCAGCTACAGAGCCTAGAGCTCAAGGCCTCGCTCAGGTGCCCCCGGAGCTGCACACAAACGAGAGCACCTCCATCACCTGCTCGCTGCGAGGAGCGGGCACGGGGACTTCGCCGACTACCACGAGAGGTTTAACCACGAAGAGGCCCGGATCGAATGCTCTTGCGGGAGGAGAAAATCACCGACACACCTTCTACTGCCGGAAGGTAGGTACTCGACACCGCCTAAGGCTAGCCCCCACGGCGGGCAAGGCTATCAACCAGGCACTAGGAAGGGGATTTGACCGGTTCCTCGGGCTAGTAACGGAGGCAGAATTCTTTGATCGGATCTGCCACCGCCACTAGCTCGAGGCAACCCTCCAACCTAATATGTACAACTCTCTCTTTTCTATGTTTTCTGCCCGTAGGCTCCCTGTGGGCCTACGGCCCAGCTGACTGCGTGGGCTTTCTCAGTCACCCGGCTCTGACCGAAGACTGACTAATATTACGGCTTCGCCGCCGTGCCCGAACCCGCTGACGGGGAAGGGACCTGAGAATCCGAGCGGCCACAGAGTCCAAGAATTGCTAGATAGGGGAGTAGAAGTAAGGAACGCGCGACGGGTCTCCGACGAGCATCCCCATCTTGTACTATACCTAGCCTAGCACGTCTTTTGCCCTTATAGGGATGTCCCAGACGGTAATCAATACTACTACTACTACCAGCCAAGCTGGTGCTGATAACAACAGTGGCTCCATCGCCTTCGTGGACGACTACTCTGCCTGGGTCACTGGACCAACAGCCGAGTCGAACAGAGATGGTATTCAGTCGATTATCGATGATGCGCTCGAGTGGGAGAAGCGCAGCGGCGCCACGTTTGAAGTTGACAAGACGTCCGTCATCCATTTCACACGCATCGCAGAACGAGACAGCGACTCGCCTTTCGCCATCAGAGGAATGATGTCAAGCCGAAGGACAATGTGAAGCTGCTGGGAGTCATCATGGATCAAGCACTTCGCTTCAAGGAGCATATCGCCGGAGTAGCCGCCAAGGGGCTGACCGCTGCCATGTGCTTGAAACGACTGAAGATGGCCTCGCCACGAACGGCGAGGCAACTGTTCACTGCGACCGTTGCGCCGACCATGGATTATGCCTCCAACGTTTGGTCGCATGCATGCGGGGCGAAAGAAGCGTCATGGATCGATAGGGCCCAGCGAATTGGAGCCCAGGCAATCACAGGAGGATTCCGCACAGTGGCAACGGCAGTGGCTGAGGCCGAGGCTGGCGTGCAATCATTCCGAGAACGGCACGCTCAAGCGGCAGCGAAATTCTGGATAAGGATGCGGACGCTCCCGAAGACGCATCCTCTGACATCGTTGAGGCTCAAGCTGCACAGGAGGTATGCCTCGCCGATGCAGAAGCTCGCCTCGGCGATGTCAAGACTAGATACCAAACGCGTGGAAGTCATCCATGAGTTCGCACTCGCGCCGTGGGACGAACGTATGCAGGCAAAGTACGAGGCAGACCGAGTGGAGGTGATGAGGCCGGAGGTCCCGGAGGACATCACTATTGCGACGTCCAGTTCTCAAAGGAAAGGCAAGGTCGGTTTGGGAGGCGTCGTTCGGGATGCTTCCCGTGACAACGCAGACGAGGTGCTGGCAAGCTACTCCGTCACCCTTGGCTCCAGTGATGAGCAGAATGTCTACACAGCAGGACTCGAGGCAATCGCCATGGCCCTGAGGTGTGTGCCTCTAGGTATTCATGACCGAGAGCTCACAGTTGTGACAAGCAACCGCGCTGTCCTGCAAGTCATCGGGCGACCGCGGCAGCAGTCTGGTCAGTGCACGATACGGGCGATATACGGATCTGTTGAGTATCTTGCGAAAAGAGGCTGCAGAGTCAGACTTCGTTGGGTGCCTGCAAAGAATGAGGAGTTCACCTTGGGCCACTGGCCAAAATGCAAGCGAAAAGAGCAACGCGAGATGAATGCATCGCTGAACCAGCAACGTTTCAGGCAAGAGCAACGACGTTACGACTGCTGCTCAACGAACACACTCGCGTTAGTCAGATCCCAGAAGGGGTTGGGAAGCACTCAAAGCGCATCGATAAGGCACTGCTGGGGAAGCACACCCGCAAGTTGTACGACGAGCTAACGAGAAGGGAATCCGAAGTGTTGGTACAGTTTCGAACTGGCAAATCACGGCTGAATAGCTACCTTTGCAAAATCGGGGCAGTGGAATCGGATGAGTGCACTTGTGGGCAGTCTGCAGAAACGGTGGAGCATTTCCTCTTTCGATGCAGAAGATGGACGGTACAACGAGAGATTATGCTGCGATATGCTCGCGGAAAGGTGGGAGACCTGTCTTTCTTCCTAGGAGGCAGGTCAGAGTCAGACGACGACAAGTGGCAGCCTGATATTGGGGCGGTGCGTGCGACGATACAGTTCGCATTGGCGACAAAACGCTTCAGTATGGACCGTTAATGGGCCATGTACTAATCAGAGAAAATCATACTAACACAACAGCCTTCAACTTGGCAGACCGCGCTTCAGTCGCTGAAGGTAGGACGCTGAACACTTGGAGAAACTGACCTTCAAGCAGGTCTGTCATGTCACAGCGAACGAGGCTGAAACAGATGAAAAGAAGCGTGGGGCTTCGGGTGAGATGGAACAATGTACAGTAGGTCCGTAGCTTAGCGTAGTGGCCCTATGGGGACCCTCCGGGCGTAATACAACCAAAAAAAAAGCTGGTGCTGACGGGCCACTTAGCCTGACTGGCCACCTAGCCACTTTTCACACCTTCTACCTTCCAGCCAGAACACCACCACCAAAATGCGTCGCGAAGAGGCCAGACTTCTGGAGGCTCGCGTGAAAAAGGCCAAGAATTATCTCGATCAAAATCCCACGGCAAAAATGACTACGGTTGCTCGTCAATTCGAGGTGCCGCGTGGTAGACTCAGAAGCCGTCTTGAGGGTCGAACCAGTTTGACCGAACGCCAACCAACAAATACGAATGCGGTAACCGGATGTTGCCGCAGTGCTCTTGTAGAGGGATGTTGCGACGCCAGGACGTCACGATATCACCGAGCTGTTCTGCCAGAGCCGTGATTGTCGCCTTATCCAAGTCAGCACATGCCATGGGATCACCCGCGACCTTAGTCATCAAGATCCATCCGCCGTGGCCAAGTGGCTGATTGTTAGATTCGTTCAGCGAACAAGGTCCGGCCTTGTATGGGGTCGCAGATATGGCGACACGGCCGTCCTCGGACCACGCAAGAGCTCGGGGTGCCGGAACATCTGCGCGGTGTTGCTGGAGCAGCTGCAGGCATGCCACCTCGTTCTGGACCTTGTACGCTTCAAAGAAGCGGCCGCTGACCTTTAACACGACTTCTTGTTCTGGCGGCGCCGCTGAGCTCGGTGACGTCTCATGGGCAGGGTGTCGAAGTGTTAGGAAGTATAGGCGATTGTTGTACGATCGGCCAGAAGGAAGCTGTGTCACAGAGACCAGCTCGGAGTGGGGGAACCCGCAGCTCGCGATGTTCTCAATCTCTTCACGCAGCACACGCACACCGGCGGTAGGATGGTGAGGCGGTGTCGGCGGCCGGACGCAGTCAAGGCTCTCCATCTGGCAACGTAGAACGAAATTACAGTAATATTGTTATTGGACCCTGCTCTCTGTGAAGGACATGGAAAACGCATCCTGACATCCAAAATGTCGGCTCATTTTATGGTCAATAGACTCGGCGTGTGAGCTGCATGGTGCTGGACAGGTGCGAGCGGTGGTGACTCACACGGCCTGTCGTGGCCACTACATGATATGAGGATTGCTATTGGCAGACATAACAATTACGAATCAAGGTGGTCCGAGCCGGAATGTCGTGGATCAGATAATCACTGATCAAACGCTAGTAAATATGCTCTAGCTTCCATTTTGTTGCAGAATGGCATGAGCAGTATTTTGTGACCTCTCTGACTTTTGAGACATCCTTAAGAGTCTCCTTCGAGGCCATTACTCAAAGCACTGAGGGTCCCTCACATATTAATAGACGGCCGTTGGTGTAGCGGCTGGCACACCCTGGGAGCTGCATAGGGGGTGCACTCCACCCACTCCTGTTTGCTTCCCAACCTAGGGATAGGTATACTCGGCGGTCTTGCGATAAGTTCTGTTGGTTTGCTGTCTCGGCCATAATCCGCCGACGTGGCTTCTGTGCGGAAGGGTAGAGTAGCGACCCCCCGCCGCTGGTCGCGGGGAATTTCCCCCCCCACTTCTTCCACTTTCACCGACACACTTCGAATCGTCCGGTAAAGCCAAGAACGAAATGCCTCCAGATTGTATGACCCAACACAAGCATATTACGACTCTCGTTCTTGACGTCCGCTCACATATTGACATCGCGAAAATAGCTTCCTGCAGCGAGCAAACTATTCCCAGAATTCGACTGAAATTGAGACGATTTGAACTCCGAAGTACCGTTCGGGCCGTCCTCAGATGGTAGCTCTTTCGATGTCACGAGCCCTACAGAAGCAACTATCCAAACACCTGTTCCGTGACGAGATGATCCCAAAATTTGTTTCAAGAGCCAGGCATCCCTTCCCTGAGTATAGCACCAGCCAGTGCTTTGAGGCTGGGTAACACATTGAGAACTTGACATGTGTGTGTGTGTGTGTGTGTGTATTAATTACGCCTGATGGCCGTAGGCCAATAAGGCTACTATCTGATTACGGACATGTTCATTTCTCAATCTTTGACATGGTATCCTGAAGCCCATATTGTGTTCGATCTCGGCAATTTGGTCTCAACAGAATTTGCATCGCACTCGGAGGGTCCGGGCGCTTGAAATTGTTCCAGGCAGGCGAGCTTGAAGGTTGTTCTTCAAGTGTTCAGGGTCCTATCTGCGGCGGCTGAAGCGGTGCCTGCGACCTGAGGCCCGAGCCCAGAGCGGGCGTGTTAGTAGGAAAAGAGTAATAAGGAAGGTGTGGGTTCGCAGTCTGTTCTCAATGTCGTGTACTCGCGAGTCGTGCCGTCGCTATCGCAAATCGTATTGTCGCACGAACTGCCTCTATGTTGGGCGTCCATTTCGTGTCATCTGAAGGCGACTTTCCGGTGTGTGTGTGTGTGTATTTTTTGTCCAGCGGCCAAGAGGTTATCAGAGAGCATGACCAGCCACCAAAGCGATACGGCCGACCGAATGCTCTTGATCACGATTATGACAAAGCACATCTCTTTCTTCCTCAGATGCAGAATGAGGTCGACGTCGAGAGAACAGAAATAACATCGACATTCATACGGTGGTTCGTCTACTGCGCTTATTTCGGACTACCACCGTCAATCGGAAGTATTGCTACAACAGAGATCGCTACGGGCGATGATGTAGCGATGACAACTGCCGAAGGTGGCCAGGCAGTACGGCAGGCTATAGGGGTCACTGTTGCAAAACCCAAAAAGTCACCGCGCGAGAGTCAAAATGGGTTAGCGGCATGAACGGCCCGCCCCACGGTACATTGGTCTATGTATCTCGGCCCAACTTCGTTGGAAAATTTGGCGTTACGGCAGGTGTAGTCACAGCTACGGGGCCGCTGCGGACCAGCAGCGCGTCTCTCGTCACAAACATATCAGTCGCCTATGGCGAAAATACCGCACGGTAATTCCAACGCTTTAATGTGTTCCCTTATTCTATCTATACATTCTCCTCGTCCTCATCCTCCGGCTTGTTAAGCTGCTATATATCAGTTAGCAGCCGAAATGCAACTCACAACTTCAGTTCGCTCACAATCCAGAGCCGAGCAGCCTCAGCGATGGTTTCTAACGCCATAAGCTTCCGCTCTTCGGGGCCAAAGCGGAGCTGGTCCTGAAGCGGTAGAAGGAGCCGCACTACCACCGCAAGCACGTAGCTGTTGTGCTGCTCGCTGCGCAGCGATGCGCCAGGTGTCATCGGGTTCGGCATCTGCAAGCTTGAGATGCCGATTCACGTCCCAAAAGGCACGCACGGCAGCAACAGCCCCAGCAGGGACCTAGAACATTCAACTCGATTAATTTCTCGCTTCTTTGGAGCAAACAAAGGTCTCATACTGGCCTGCACGTGTGAGCGTTCTTTGCGCAGTCCCAGCACGCAGCACCGGTATCTATCCCGGCAAATTAGTGAGGCAGACATATACTACAGGGGACAATCAACGTACTGTCCTGGGAGGCACATTCATGGCCGGGAGTCTTGGTGGCGCGTGTGACGCAAGGACGGCATGGGAAGTCTCGCACCGAGCCGACGGGAGGGGCCTTTTTTGTCTGCTTCTTCTTCTGCTCGGGCGAGCAAGTTAGCAGCCGCCTCTTCTTCATAGAAGAACTTATTGGATTGTACGGTAATCTTGGCCGTGGATTTGCGGGCGTTGAGTCGGACCAATCCTCTACCCTTGACTATTTTATTCCTGCTGGGCGAGTCCCCATCCATCGGGCCAGCGACTGCAGTTTCACTTACGATAGCGGGATCTGCTGTGGACATGACAACGCTGCTGACCATTGGCTTTCCACGGCAATGATGATACAGAAGGGAAAGGTAGGAACTAGGGTTGGAAGGGATCTGGGTTCTGTAAATATTTGCGGGTGAGCAGCGTCGATCTGTTCCTGGTTTGGTAACCGTTCCACGAACAGCCCCCTGGCACTAAGCCGCTGCGGGCCAGCGGCACCACCGCTGCGGGAAAACGCGGTAAGTCAATTTATATCGCTGTCCCCCTTTTTCCTGGCATGAGGACCAAGAAAATCACCATCCCTTCGACGTTACCGGCAACAATGGCACGTCCGCCCAATCCAATCGATCAATACCGTAACTATATCACTCATCTATACCTCAACGGTGTCTCGCGAAGCAAGATTAAGTATAAGCTTCGGAAGCATTACCATGTCGCCGTCAATCTCAGTACACTCTCTCGCCGAATCGCAAACTGGGGTCTCCCGCGCCAGCAAGCCCGTACCAAAGAAACTCCAGAGCTGATAGAAACCATCCGTGACCTGATCTTTCGCGTTGGGCTTACCGAGAAGCAGACGCTGAGCGTGCTACAAAGACAAGGCTGGCCG